GCACCTCTAAATGGTGAAATCAACGTGACCGTCAAATATCCACCGTCGAGCGGTGTTGATTTGATCGATGCACCTCTGACTTCTAACCAAGAACGACCGTTACTACGGTTTGCACCTCTCCAAATTACGTTCGAACGATGGTGTTTGAGTTTTGGGGAATCTACGTTACAACTACTCCTATGGAGATTCCTGTGGAGAGCTCCGCGACTACGACTACTTCTACCAACTATGGAGATCCTTAATAGAAGGAGAGCTCCGCGAAGGAGTTACAGAGAAAAAAGGTAAAGTTTTGACAGAGTTGTTCTGTGCTGATTTTTGGTTCCCTTTCTCTCTCCTTGCTCCGCTGCTTTTATTTGAAATCACTTGCGTAGTCTTCACGCTAGGTGGAACCGCTTCCTCAACTGCTCTGTTGTGAACTCCCACGTGTCTCAACCGTCTTGATCTCCTCTTCACTCAGGTTGGTGTGAATCTCACGCGATGTCGTTTTCTTCCCCAAACAGCTCCGTTTGCTTATTTACTCCACGACATTGTTTTATATTAAACACTATCGTTTTCTCTAGCACAACGGTACCGTTGGGCTTACTCGCGGTATCGTTTTTAACTAAACAATATCGCTTGGTTCTATCCGCGGCATTGCTTGTCACTAAACGGTGCTATTTTTTTTATCCTTCTCCGACAAGGAATAAAAATAATAATTAATTAAAAAACTCCTTTTCCAACATCAATACTAAACACGCGGCCCACATCTTATTTTCTGGTAAACAGTGTTGTTTCCAGTGCCGCGGTACCGCTGAGCTTCCTTGCGGTACCATTTTTTGTTTCGCGGTATCGTTTTAACTCATTTGTGATTCCACTTGTCGCTCGCGGTGCCGTTTTTAGCCAAACAACACCGTTTCCCAGTCTCGCGATGCCGCTTGTCGCGGTGCCGTTGAGCTTTGAGGTTCGCGGCACCGTTTTATCTCTTCGCAACATTGCTTGACTACAAACGGTGTTGTTACTCCCCTCCTCCGACAAGGAAAAATAGAATAAAAAACATTCCTTGTCCAACAGCAACACATGTCCTGCGCATGACTCACACATAGTCTGCAACCAATGTCGTTTCAAGTACCGCGGTACCCCCGAGCCTCTTCGCGGTCTCGCTTAAATTCTCCGCGGTATTGCTCGACTCCAAACGACATCGTTTTGGCCATGAGGTATCGAATTAAATGCTGAGACTCATTATTACGACATTGAATTTAGGCCAAAAATATTTTAGGTGTAAACACTACCCAAATGGGCAGTTCCGACATTTGGAATTGCTTTCCCTCGCGGATCAAGCAGCAGTTGGGTTGGGCAAGATGGAGAGAAGAAGGGAGGTTAGCCAAGTGAAGCGAGCAGCTTGTTTGTGTAGATAGGATGGAATGGTGAACAGATGGAAGGAAAAAATTCACGGGAAAGTGGTAGAATTTGTGTTTCTATTCCGTCTCTGCTTTGGTTTGGCGCGTGCTGTGGGGAACCGGAAAACAGAGCCAGTTGAGAAAGATGACACTTTTGAGCCTGACCCAAGCCAAGTTAGATTTTTTTTTTACAAAAGATAATCATATATTGATCAAGAAAAGGTAGTTACATCCTGGACACCAGCCAGGCCCGGAAATCGAAAGAACGACTCATAGTCGGGAACAGAGAGAGGGCTTTCCTAGCCACCAAATGGGCTACCCTATTGTTACGCCGACCTACAAATCTAACACTAAACCCAGGATTCCCCGGCAAAAATCTGAATGAGCTCATCTAGTACAGCACCCAACCGACTATCTCGAGCCTCCCTGTGGTTGATTTTATCAATGATAATTTCCGCATCCCCTTCAAAGGTAATGTCCACCCAACCGAGCGATTGACACCACAGAACAGCTTCACGCAGGGTAACCAATTCCACTACCAAGGGATCATCAAACCATGGAAACTGCACGCCCTTCACCATCAAAACCTCCCGATCCGGGGTGAGAAGAACCAAACCTTCAGATGAGTGCAACCCACTCCGGACAGCCCCATCCACATACACACCACACCATTCCCCCGAGCAGGCACATGATGGGTGAGGTCAGCCTGGACCCGAAGGGGGGTCTTATCCACCGGAAGCCGGATCCACTCCTCATATTGCTGCTGGTACTGACGCATCAAGGCAGAAAAACCAAACTGTTTGCCTTCAAAGACAACCCAGTTGCGAGATCGCCAAATATGCCATAGGACAGCCACAACGGCCATAAGAACAGTAGGTTGGTAAATCAAAGCCATAAGACGCTTAAGGAAGAGGGGGAAAGTATGACGAGGGAGCCCCTCCCCTAGGTGAGCCAACCCAGCATAGTCCCAAAGGGCCCGCGCTACTGGACAATCGAGAAAAAGATGTTCCATGGTCTCCGAACTAGCCCAACAAACAGGGCATCTGGGAAGCACAGGGACCTTCTTCTCAATAAGGGCTTAAGTAGTGGGCAGGGTCCGATTAAGAATTTGCCAGAGGAAGACCTTTAACTTGGGAGGAATATTGGCCTCCCACACACGAATCCAACTCGACCTATCCATCCAACTTACCATGGCTCTCCAACCCCCCCCCCCCCCCGACGCTTATCAAGAGAGAATGCTAAATGATAGGCCGGCTTGACCGAGAATACTCCATCAGGAGTGTCATGCCAAATTAACCGATCATCTACCGACTGTCGCGGAAGAGGTATAGCTTTGATGTCCCTGCAGGTCAGTGGGTCAAACCATTGACCAAGCTTTTGTTCATTCCAACGCCCCTCCCCAGGACAGATCACTTCCTCCACCCTCAAGTCACCACCATCCGGTAATATCCGAGGATTAAACCGAGGGGGATCCAACTGTAGAGAAGGAATCCAATTAGAGTGGAGGAGCGAAGCGGTCTTCCCATTCCCAATCTGCAAATGCAAGCCCTTCGCCAGCAAGTCCCTACCATACAGGATACTTTGCCATCCCCATGAGGGACGAGAACGAGCCGCAGCACTAAGAAATGAGCCTCTCGGAAAATACTTTCCTTTATAAACCTGAGCAAGTAGGGATTGGAGTTCCATAAGAATGCGCCAACCAATTTTGGCTAATAACGCTTGATTAAATTGCTCAAAACGACGGAACCCCATCCCACCATCATGTTTACTATGGCACATATTTCGCCAGGACATCCAATGAATACGAAATTGGTCATCACCATCGCCCCACCAGAAACGAGCCACATGTTTGTCCAGCAGCCGACATAAAGAGACTGGCAGTTTGAAGCAGGACATCACATGCAAGGGCAGTGCCAACGCGATGGATTTTATCAGAGTCTCTTTTGCTGTCCAAGACAAGGTCAGCTGTTTCCACCCTTGAAGACGGTCTAATAACTTCTCCTCAAGATACCGGAAAGTGGCCATTTTTGAGCGCGCAATCAGCGAGGGTAACCCAAGATACTTGTCATGCACCCCTACCGCTCCCACTCCCAAAATAGCAGCCAGAAACTCCTGATCCGTGCGGATGATATTTCGACTAAAACAAACAGCCGATTTATCTAAATTCACCCGTTGGCCACTTAGTTCCTCGTATTCATTCATAACCTCTATCAAATTCTCACATTCCTGTATAGTACCCCTCAAAAATAGATAAGAATCATCAGCAAAGAATAAATGAGAGATACGGGGCGCTCGGGGAGCCACCTTCACCCCTTCTAAACGACCCTCCAGGATAGCTTGCCGTAGGAGCGCCGCAAAGCCCTCCGTGCAAAGCACAAATAACAGAGGGGATAAAGGATCCCCTTGCCTTAATCCTCTAGAGGAGGTGAAAAAGCCTGAGGGGGTAACATTCATGAGGACAGAGAAAGAAGCAGACCGGAGAAATTCTTGAATCCATCCTCGCCAGGTAGAGTTAAAACCCATTTTTTCCAAAATAGCAAGAAGAAAGGACCATTCGACTCTATCATAGGCATTTTCCATGTCAACCTTTAGAGACATGTATCCTTTCTTACCCCGCGTTTTGATTTTCAAATAGTGCATTAACTCATGCCCCAAGAGTATATTCTCAACAATCTGCCGGTCCCGAATAAACGCATTCTGACCCTCCGATATAATTTGCGGCAAGAAACCAGCAAGCCGTTCTGCCAAGATTTTGGCAATAATTTTATAAACAAACTGACATAGGCTAATAGGTCGGAATTGCCGCATGGATTCCACCTTGTCAACCTTCGGGATCAAAGTAAGCCAGGTATGGTTGAAGCTGCGGAGTAGTCGACTTGTCGTGAAGAAAGAACACACCGCGTCCACTACCGAACTCCCTACAATATCCCAGAAGGTTTTGAAAAATTTACCAGTGAACCCATCCGACCCAGGCGCTTGTTTTGATCCCATGGCAAACACCTTTTTCCGAACTTCACTAGGGAGAACCTTCGCCGTCAGGCTAGTATTCATCTCAGGGGTAACATTACGAGCAATAGGCAAACCTGCCACACGCTCAGCCATGTTAGCCACCTGATTCTTCGTTGTGAAGAGGTTCTGATAAAACGATGTCGCAATGCTTGCCTTGCCATTCTCATCTGTAATCCAATCGCCAGTCCCAGTACGAAGGCCCTCTACAAAATTCTTTTTACGACGAGTTCTGGTCACTGTGTGAAAATAGGCTGTATTTTTATCACCCTTTTTCAGCCAGTGAACCCTAGAATTTTGTTGCCAGTAATCCTCCTCCGCCTCCCACTAACGACTTAATTCCTTCTCCAGATTTCTGACCTCATCCCAACTAATGGGTTGGATAAGCTTAACCCTATAGATTTCACTCTGGAGAGTCCTGATATTCTGCAAGGAATTCGTAGTGCCAGCCCTACTCCAGTCATAAAGTAAATGGCGTAATCCCTTAAGGCGCTCCCAAAGGCAGAACATGGGATTCCCCTGAATATCCTCCTTCCAAACATAGCAAACCATAGCTCTCACTTCTGGATTATCCGCCCACCGAGCATCAAACCTAAAGAGAGGGCGACTATTCCAAACCTAAGGCCTATCAGACAGAAGGAGAGCCCGGTGATCAGAACCCTGGTCCGTGAAATGCTTCACCAAGGTTTCTGGGAACTGATCAACCCATGTCTGGGAACAAAGAGCCCTATCCAGCCTTTCACGAATGCAAGCCACTCCCATCCTCCTATTAGTCCAAGTGAACGGATCACCAAGGAAACCAGGATCATGGAGCCCTAGGTCTTGGATAAACTCCCTCAGACTAATTGACTGGGCCGCATTCCAAGGGTTACCACCATCTTTTTCACCCATATGAAGGGTAGTGTTAAAATCGTCGATGATCACATAAGGCAGCGTAAGGGCGGAACAAAGTTCCCGAAGGTGAGCCAATTGGGCAGTGCGAACAACAGAATGGCAACTAATATAAACACAAATCATAATATAAGAAAAATCAACTTCATTAATCTGGGTGCAAATACAGAAGTTGGAATGATAAAACACCGAAGCATCAACTCCGGGAGACCAGGCTACAACTAGACCACCGGACGCATCAATCGCATCCACAAAAAAACACTGGGAAATATCAAAACCAAGACCACGCATATGACGGGAAACAACACGCCGTCTCGATCGTGTTTCAGAAAAAAACACGAGATCCGGTTTATTCGACCGAACAAGACCTACAGCAGTTTGGAATGTGAGGGATGGTCCAATTCCTATCACATTCCAGGCGAGTAGCCTCATTTATCCGACTGGGGCCATTCCAGGCTAGCTTCCTCCACCTTTTCATTGCTATAAACATCATCAACTTCCACGAAGTGCTTCTTTGGCGTGGGAGGGGATCCAACTTCACCCTCGACAGCTGCCAAAGATCGTTTGTGGGTCTCAAGCACTAGGTTGGTCATATTCGACCCATATTCATCCAGAAACTCGGCTCCCTGCTCATGCCTCCCATCCATCGGATCATTAGAGCCTTTTTCATCACTTTTGACCTTGAGCGGAACCTCATTATCCTGGGCAATTGCCATCCCTGCCTCGAATGCTGCCACGACCTGGGAGACTTTGCCCACCATGCCTCGAACAAGATCCACCGAAACAGGCCTCGGGACACGTTTTTTTATTTCAAAACAATGATGCTCATCATCCCTCCCCGACTCCTCCGAATCACTATTCCCATGGGAAGCGTTCCCCAATGAAATAGCTACACCACTAACCCGCGGTCTGCTCACAGCGACCCCATTCTCCACATTATTATTCCCGTCATTTGCCATCCCAGCCGATAGCACCTGGTTATGTACAGCAGGGGGGATCAACATTCTTCCCACCACGTGCATGGCTCCCCTCACCATGCATGGCACGGCCCTTCGACCCCTTCCGAGCAGCACGAGGAAGATCCCCACCGCCTCCCACAACCTGGGCCTCCATCGTTCCTGGCGCCATGACCGTGGGAGCAGTGCGACGCAAACGCCGTTTCTTCTCCGGCTTGGAATTTCCAATCATAGACTCCATACCCTTTCCGGCCTGTCGGAACCCTGCTGAGTCGCCAGGTCACCCGGTAGGCATTGCGGCATCCCATGATCCTTCAGCAGGGAAGGATCTTCCATATCGTCGTCTGAGTCTTCCTCAAGGATGAGACGACGCCGAGACAGCTCCATCACCTCAGCTTGCGCAGCGACCGCCTTGGTCGGCGTTTTTTGCTTCGGGTTAGGGGGTCGACGCCCACCTTTCTTACCACGGAGAGCCGGGCTATCATGCTCCTTGATTGACGCCCGTCGTTTCTGCTTACCACCCCCACCCAATTTCAATTTGGGAGTTCGGTTTATAACAAACCCCCTGGGGCTATGGCGACGCAATGGCGAGCTCTCCTGCTCCCTCTCGACCTGCATACCATTATCAGAACGAATCTCCAAACCCCGACCAGCTGCGAAGGGCGCCTCCTGCTGCCATTTTGTTGGGACCACGGTCTGGAAACGACCCTTTTCACCATTATCATTGGTCTTCTTTCTCCAGTTTGCAGCGTCAGCGCCACGTGTTTGACGATTAATCCAGACCGAGCTCCTCGGTCCTCCCATCGCCATCGAGTGACCATCATCATCATAAATTTGGTGCCCCAACTTCTTAGTCGTCATATGAGGACCAAATCTTTCCTTCCCTCTCGGTGGGTCAAACACATAGTCTCGTCGAGCATGGACCACTCGGCCACAATGGAAACAGAAGCTTGGCAGAAATTCATATTTGAGGCTCACCCAGAAGCCATCGGTTTCCTCACTGACCGCCATCAATTGAGATCGAAGAGGCTTAGAAAAATCGACCATAGCTCGAACCTTAATAAAATGCTCGCCTGTCTCTTTCGAGGCAAAGAGATTTGAATCCAGAACTTGCCCAACCGTAGAGGCAATGAGTTTTTGACCAAAGAGTTTGGTCCGACAGTCCTCTTGCACTCCCCAAATCTGGATCCGAAATGGGGCCACGGCCATTTCCTCAAAGTGTTGCTTGGTGATCGTCGGTGACCACGATCGAAGAGTAAGAAGCTTATCTTTGATTATCCAGGGGGTACGTGCTAACGCCCACTTCTTTGCTTCCTCATTTGGCAGAACAATCTCAAAAAGGCCATGTTTGGCGTTCGAAACCTTGAGTTGTCCGCAAAGTTGCCAGGAATCAAGCAAACCATCGCGCAGTTCCAGTGTCGTGATCTGGTCACTGGTGAATAACCTCCCTAGAAGGGTGCGAGATGCACGAAACCTCATGGACTGCACCTCCTCGAGGGAGAACTCCAATTCTTGCTCTTCAGCAATGTGGGCCATTCTGGACGGTACCTGCCAAAGAGGTGAAAAATTCAGGTTAGGAATAGACGCACAACACCCTAGCAGCCCTTTCTCCAACACTGGGAAACACGAAACCAGAGGGGAGGGGTGCTGCGTAACAGGCATATGCATGGCATCAAGCTGAGGGGACGAACACGTTACAATCCCAGGAGTAGACCCTTTACCTGAACTTTCACCGGTGGCAAGACTTGGAGACGAGGTCGGCGCAGGAGTTTCACCACGGCTTTTGCTTCGAGAGAGAGAGAGATAGAGAATTACTCCCTGAAAGCAAGGATTTAAATATAAAGCCTTTACCCCGTTCCATTTCACCCCTTAGTAGGAAGAGATTAATTCCAGCAGGACGTTTACTTAGACTCGGACTCCCAGCGATGCTACTAGGATACGTGGGAATCTTCTTCTTTTTTTTACGTTGAATACTACCGTAACCATAAACACCCAACAATCCCACAAAATCTGGGGTAGCTTGTGTGACAACCATTACCACGCGGAGACCCACCAACTCAGGGGTCTGGAGGGTGGTATGCTCCAGCGGCGGCCGCAGAAACACGCCGGTGAGAAGGCAGGTTTCGGGAACCAGGTTTTCATGTACCAATCGTTTAATCGGCCGCGCAGCTAAATACTGAACTGCCGACTCAGATTTCGGAGTAACCCGGCTGAGCAGATCATTCGTATCCCTACACGGGATCTCACCTGAAGTAGTCGAAGTGCCGGGTTTGGATAACAGCGGGTCATCGCCTACCAAATCATGTACCGGTCGTTTAATCAGACGAACAGGCACATACTCAACTGCCGGCTAAGATTGCTGAGCCACCCAGTTGATCAGGTCATCAGCATCCCTACGCGGGATATCACTTGACGTAGTTGAATTATCGGACTTGGATAACAGCGAGTCATCACCTACCAAATCCGACGAGGGGAGCCAAAATCTCCAACCTCCGAGACGAACCAGCATGCATCTTTTTACAGGACTGAAGTTTGATAAAGGAGAGCTGTACGAAGGAAAACCAGCTTCTCGCAATTGAACCCTCTTCCGTTTACCTATCCCCTGTGTGGGGATCGCAGTCCAAATCCCTTCCATTGACCTCTGCCCTTCGCTCTTGTGATTTTCCAAGCTACGCAGCAAAAGAGAGGCGAAGATCCGAATCAGCCATCCACCTAGCCAGAAGGACCAAGCAGCGAACAAGGAGAGCGCTCCTCGCATGATTTTTTTTTTCGTCCCAATCCTCTCCCATACACTTGTGATGAGAATTGTAATTGAATCAGTTTCCCTCAAGCTAGATAGCTAAGTCTCAAGCTAAGTTGATCGCTAAGCCCCATTCTACATTTCTCTTTCCGTTGGCCCAACTAGATAGCCCATACTCAAGGCCATCTAAATGTACATGATAATTCTTTTATTAAGAACAATGTTTCATGATACAAAAACAAATATGGTGATTAGAGATGGCAATCCTATTGTAATTGAATCAGTTCCCCTCAAGCTAGATAGCTAAGTCTCAAGCTAAGTTGATCGCTAAGCCCCATTCTACATTTCTCTTTCCGTTGGCCCAACTAGATAGCCCATACTCAAGGCCATCTAAATGTACATGGTAATTCTTTTATTAAGAACAATGTTTCATGATACAAAAACAAATATGGTGATTAGAGATGGCAATCGAACTCGCAACCATTAGTATCTGATCTGATCCACCCTAACCCAGTCAATGAGAAAAATTATTATTATTATTATTATTTATTTATATAATTAAAAGCACAGCACTTTTCACTATTCATTAAGAAAAAAAAGACTATTGTTTCTCTATGGGTACTATTCACAATAGGATTCTATCTCATATATCCAATTTTACCATAAGCCATTTTTCCTTCTTTTTTGCAATATTATTCATATGATTTTTATTCGCTATACCATAAGTCTAAAATTCATAAGCAATTATATGAGTTTTATTCTCTACAACCACTTCAAGGATAAGTCTAAAATTCATAACCAATTATTATTAGACAATTATATGAGCTTTATTCTCTACAACCACTTCAAAGATAAGTCTAAAATTCATAAGGAATTATTATTAGACCACATATTATGAAATCACTGTTGATTAAGAAAAAATAGACTATTTTTTCTCTACGAGTACTGTTCACAATAGGGTTCTATCTCATATAACCAATTTTACCATAAGCCCTTTTTCTCCTTTTTTGCAATATTATTCATATGATTTTGATTCGCTACAATCACTTCTACGATAAGTCTAAAATTCATAAGCAATTATATGAGTTTTATTCTCTACAACCACTTCAACGATAAGTCCAAAATTCATAAGCAATTACTATTAGACCACATATTATGAAATATTTATGTAACAAAACTCAATAAAAGTTACTTAAATTTAAAATTCGTCGATGATACTTACTATAACTTGATTATACTATTAGACCACATATTATGAAAAATTTATGTAATAACATTCTATGATTGTTACATGAGTTTTACTTAATGATTAAGACACTATGTAAAGTTTATGGACAAATAATCATTTATGTATCAATTAAAAAAATAATATGTACGTTTTCTATAATAATTAAACACTACGTAAACTTTATGTAGAAATAGTTATTTACAATGTATCACTTAACCAAACGGATGACGTATGTTCTTCGTAATGATTAAAACGTCACGTGAAACTTACATATTTATCTTATCTGAATAATTTTGTAAATTATTTGATTTAAACTAAATTATTAGTTTCTATCACGGCGGTGCGCGGGCAAAAAACTAGTATAACATTAAAACCCACAGACAAAGTGGGGGGATGAGTGTAGGTCTCACCACCTTATTTCCGTACCTATAACCACTCTCATATATTATATACACCTATTTACATGTTATTCTATCTCTCCCTCCATCTGTCACTAAAATTTTAGAATGATATCTAGTATCTACACAATAAATAAAAGTCAAATGAGAAAATTTGAAGCCCCATTTCAAATTTCTTGTATCCAAAGTGAAAGTATGAAGGACATTTTGGTCTTCACAATTACTTTTTTTTATTCATTAAAAAGACACTTACTAGGATTCGAACCATGACCATTTTTAAGAAAAGCAAAGATCATAATCAATCACACTAAGTACATTTGTTGTATTTTTTTTAAATTAAAAACATATAATCGCAGTGAGGAAAAATCCTTCCCCCATTTCAAATTTCCTGCTCCAGGAGGTTTGTAGGAAGGGTAGAATAGGGAGTGTCAATTTTTTCCTTTTTGTCTCTGTGGAACGGGCCAACTTACCATACACAAGCGGATTTAAACGTGTTTGGGAGTGTCAATTTTTTTCTTTAAGTCCTTTTATTTCTCCGTGGTGGTAAAATATATATGAAAAGGCAAAAACAATACTCCTTTTTATTGCTAAAAAGAAAAAAAATTAACAATAAACTAATGCATGGATTCTAATGGGCTAACCGTTAATCATAAAATAAAAGAGTTGAATGAGTCTGACCTACACAGGATTTGCCCATCAAGTAATACAAATGAAAATCATGGGTTTGCCATTCTAAAACAAGCTATTTTCTCTAGCATAATATATATTATGCTATTATTTTATATCTTGGTGGCTAAAATATAATGTATTTTAAAGTTATTCAATGAACCTCGACCAACCCAATTAGTTCAATTTTTATCATTTCAAATATATATTATGTAATTATTTGATATCATAATGATTAAATTATAGTGTATATTATAGGGAATCGTTTGGTATTTGTTAGTAAAAAACTAAACAGAAAGATCTATTTGGTTATTTTTAACATTAAAATGATTCTAAACATTTTGAGGTTCCTTTCGAAATTCTATAGTTTTATTCCCGAATCAGTGATGTGCAAATGGCGAATTGCAGTCATCTCTTTTCTTTCATTATTTTTTTATTTTCAAATAGAAAGTTTAAAAGTAAAGAATAATTAGAGTTTGGCATGAGTCGGTCAAACATGCTGAATTTCAAGTTTTGGCCCGTTTTGATCAAGTCTAATTTATAATCACATGGTTCCCTGATACCCGATAAAAATCTCAATACAAACCAGTTTGGCAGGTGAGTCCGTGTTTACCACCATTTTCTAGGGATACAGGAACGGTGGTTCCTATCCTAAATCGGGTTGTTCATTCTTGATTTCTTTAGATTTTATCATGGCTTGACAAAAAACAAGAAAGCACAATGATGACAAGATGAAAGTTTTATAAATCAAATTAATCGGCCAACGGGCCGAGTAAAAGATAGCAACGATTCTGAGATGCTCATTTCCCGAAAACTGGCGGGATAGGCGATTTTTTATTCGATTTTCTGGAATTCGGTTTCTATAAAACTTACTCCATCTCATCATATTACCAGAAACAATATTGTTTCACAAGGTAACATGTACTTGATTTTGGTTCATAAGGCTGATTTTTTATTCGTTGCATCTGATAGAAACCCAATTTCCGGGTTTTATCATAATTACCATAATTACTATTATTATGGTATCAGAGCCTGGTTGAGCCCATCTAAGTTCTTCGATTCGGAGTGGGTTCGTCTCAGCCAACGGTTGCAGCAATCTCTCGACCGCTACGAACGGGAAGCACGGGAGAGGGAGGCGACCGAGGGCGCGATGAGGGCGAGGGCAGTGGGTGTCGCCGCTGGCGAGACATGGCGGCGGCGACCGGCGGGTCTGCCCGACATCACCGCGAGGGCCGGCGACGCGGCGGAGGCTGGGGAGGCAGCCCTAGGCGCCGCGGGGGCAGGAGCGGCGACAGCTGCCGTGGACGTGGTGGAGTCGGCCGATGAGGAAGTGACGTCGCGATGGGCGGCCACTCCAGTTGTGGCGTCGACGGTCGAGACCCCGGCCCTAGTCATGAGCTTCACGGGTTCGAAATTGCCATTCCGCCACCGTTGGGTTTGCGCGGCGCCGAGCGAGCAAACGAAGGTGGAAGGCGTAGCCTGTCTCCCCAGAAACCCTAGGCCGCCTGATTTGGGCCAAGGGGTACAACAAAAGCCGCTCTTTCAGTTGGGCCGAGCGGATGGGACTACTTCTTTGGATGGCTCGAGAATAATGGATCGTTGGGTGGAGAAAAGTGGGATGAAATTCGGCCGAGGAAGGGAGGGTGAGAAGAAATTTGATGGGCTTGCTCTTGGTCAGGAACGTCAGCAGAGCAGGCCAAGAATTAAAAATAAAGGTTTGGCAGCCCATGGACCAATACTTGGGCCATTTATGAGTTGTCTTACATGGGCTCCTCTATGTAGTATGGAGTCGAACCCAATTGCTGGGCAAGACCTGTCAAGTGGGCCGCATCTGCAGGGAGGGAGTGAGTCCAACATGAGTTATGTCTTAAATAAAGTGGGCTTGAAGAAAAATGGGTTTAATGAATTGGTAAGTGGGCTTTCAAGGAGGTATCAACCCCATGCCATTGGAGAAGCAGAATAGGGATGACAACAAAACCCGAACCCACAGGTACCCATCCGACCCAACCCGGTCAACGCGGGTAAAACCCGTGTTGAGGGGTTTTGGGCCGGGTTTGGGTTTAAACCCGCTACACTATTCACCGGGTTGGGTTTGGGTTTAGGTAAACCCGCCCCGTGGGTACCCGCCCACACACATATAATTACTTTTCCGGTATATTTAATATTCTAAATAATATATCTTCCTTAAACAACTAATATTCTTTATGTTTGTGGAGACATTTTTAATTTGTTCTTTCTAATTGTTTAGAATGAAGTTGATATTATGAAGTGAAGAATGAAGAAACTTAGTTGACGAGGACTAAGCTTTCAATTAATCTTATTGTTTATAGATGTTTATCTTTAATTATGAACAATTTGTATTGATCATTTGTTGTTTGCTTGTATGCTCTAGATTTGTGTTTTTTGTATGATTAATTTGTATGAGAAAATTGATGTTAAACTTTTATTTTGAAAGAAACTTGTTATTGTAAATTTTTTACTAGAAAAACCCACGGGTACCCATGAACCCGCGGATACCCAGTGGGTTGGGTTGGGTTTGAGTTTTTCAAACCCAACGAATTTTACCCCGGGTTTTTTTGGCGGATAAACCCATGGGTTTGGGTTTGGGTTTGACAAAACCCGCCCCAACCCGACCCATTGCCATCCCTAAGCAGGAATGCAAGTTCGTGGGATAGCTCCAAGGAAAAAAAATTATGGGCCTTGAGAAATTGATACGTAAGGATACGTTCTTGAACAAGAACGAATCCTTGGATTCCTTAAATTATTCGAGTTTGAAGTCAACAAAAGAGGAGCCATTGAAGTTTCAGAGTGTCAACGAAGCAAAGAGTGGGCCCCTGAGAATGAAATTCGAAGAGTTGGACCAGCATGATGAGAGCGGTGCAAGAAGCCCAAGTGAAGATTTAGAGCATGATTGGAAGAAAAGGAAGCGGATGAAATGGAGAAGCCAAGGCGTGGAGAAGAGGGTCGTTTCGGTCAACCTTGAGGGCAAGGTTGGTCTCAAGGGGGAGGGGATGATAGAAACCCAATTTTCGGGTTTTATCATAATTACCATAATTACTATTATTATGATTTATTTATTTAGATATGGTTAGTAGTCTTTGGGTTATATTAGGATAGTCTATTAGGTTTTCCCGATCTTAGGCTATAAATATGTATTCTAGGTCTTTTGTTCGATTAAGCAGAAATTAATAGAAAAATCATCCTTCCCCAAAACCCTAATCTCTTTCTCTCTCAAATCTCGTCTATCCTTCTCTCTAGAGGCTTCGGCCATTCTTTCTGTTCTTCCCCAATTCTGTTCCTAAATCCCTAATTCTCCATAAATCCCCAAGTTCCCAACATCACAACTAGATCTGATAGAACCCTAATAAACAGGTTTCTATCAGCATCATTCATTTCTCTTTCCTACTAAAATTCACTATTTTTATCACGCGTTTCCCAAAATAAAAACACTGTACAACAATAAGCTATACAACTCATTACATTATCAAATTTCATACCTCACTTCTTCCGGTCAAATGGTCGGACCCACGCTAGTAACATTAAAAACCTTCGTTTCACTTTTTCAATTTCATCAAGATATATGACACCTTTATCCACGGGTATATGAGAACCGCAAGGATAGGGATGGGAATAAGAAACTTCTACTTCTAAGAGGATGGGAGGACATGAATTTACTAATTAAAATTGAGAATGATGATGAATTTAGCGAAATCCTCCCAAAGCCACCTTATTATCAATCCCTAATCATGATACCATTTCCAAGGATCATGTAATAGCCACATGTGAAGATTAAGGAAGAAGACTGCTAGAAGGTCAGCGATTGTTGAGAATACCATTAGGTGTCTTTTCAACTTAATGTGAAGCCCCCTATCTCGACACTAGTTGTAGAAAGATTGATGAATCATCTTTTCCTTTTTTTTATTTTTTGCTGATATGTCTCAAAATTTACATCATTTTGGGCCAATTAGCACATTTTTATGAGAGGATCAAAATCGTATAAAAACGCTTCAGAATCACGATTTTACCGATTTTACCCATGTTTTTACCAATTTTTTTGACTAAGCGACTTTAGGTAGAAACTGAAATATTTTGGTGGCCTGGATACGTAAAAATGTAAAAACATTTTTACGTTTTAATGCGCGATTTTGACTGCATTGGAAGACTCCACTTGTCCGGGACAACACAGCTCTGGAGCGAGAGAATTATCAAAACAAATATGTTTAATTTTTGTACAATTCCATTTCAATTATTCATTGATTTTGAGGGACTAAAATCAATCAAAATAGTTTAAAAAAAAACATTTTGAATTATGCATCGACTCTTGTACTAGGCTATGCTCTATACAATTGATTCAATTTGATTTGGCCAAGTGTGAAGCATAAATTAGACAAGTTTGACTCTAATTTAGACTCTGATTGTCTAAATCTAAAGAATATATTATACGGTTTCCAATTAAAGCCTTCAAGAATTCAAATTCTCTCCCTCCTCACGCTTCCACGTCATCTTCTGTTTTCCTCCAATTAACCAGTCTAATTAAACGAAAGGAATTCAAATGAAAGAAAGAAAGAAAGAAAGAAAGAAACCAATTCCCCAACGAAACCCCTTCTCCCTTTCGTCGGTCCCACCCACCCTCCTCCTCCACCGGTGTCCGCCGGTCCTTCCTGTCGCCAGCCACCCGACCCACTCCCGTCCCATCTTTTCCCTAGTTATTCGACCAACCCATTCTCCCCAAATATGCACAACTTCCATCCCCGTCAGTGCGATCGAGCATCCCACAACCCAAAAAATTACCAGCTTTTGCGTGTGCATCGTGCCCCACCGACCACCGGTACGCAGAGACTTTGAACTCCCCTCCCCAAATCTCTATGCCCGCCAAATCGAAGCAACATCTTGTCTTCACTCTTACCCCTCAAATCTCTATGGAAGTCCAGATGCTCGGTTATGCTCTTCGTTCCCAATTGATTTGTGCATGGGTTTCGTTGCTTCATTTTTGGGCTCCAGTGTAATCCAATTGGTCGTCCAAATGCTCGGTCGCCGCTACCTTTGGCTTCGAATCTGGCTCCATGGCGTTGTGCTTATTTTTCGTGCAAGCGAGGATTAAAATGGCCAATAGATGGGATTGTGAGTTCCGGTCATTGGAAACATGGGCTCTGACCATTGTCCGCTTTGTCGTCATAGCGGTCTCCCCAGTAATTACTGATTTCTGTTACCCAGATAACACAAGATAACTCTGTTTTTGCAGGAGCACTAATTTGCATCCATGGATGAGTTTCATCCAATTCCACTTTACCGTCAATTTTTTTGGACTGCCTTTTATTAGCCTCCATTGTATGGGAATCATCTTTTTCGTCATTTCCGACCCAAATGCATTAACTATTCTATATGATTGATTGCTTTACATATTCTATTGCCCTGCTATTATTGTCTTGCTGCTTAATAATTTTAGGACACATTCTTATGTTATTTGTGTAGGACTATCTGGCAACTGCTTCACTTCCCAGATGAGGCCCTCTACTCTATTCCCTCTTTTCTTTAAGTTTGCTTTCTGAGTTCTTTGCTGTAATTTGGCTTCATAATTTCAAATCAATGGTCACTCTTCATTCCTAATTTGTTCTCAAATTAGTTATGCTCAGCTTCAGGGTAATCACTCTATTCATCCAAGTAAAAACCAATTTCCTAACAGGCTATCACTTTTTGAACTCTAAGCAGCCTCAGAGTCAGAGACATATCTTCTCACTTCATTGTTTCATGACAACCATACAGGTATACGATTATTGTGTTGGTTGAGGAAAACACAAGCATTGTCAATGTTGTCCTACTAGAACATGAAGACTGCAAATTCTTCGGTTAACAGTACCACAACAAGATATTTGCTCAAATTCAATTATAGGACATGATAACTCTATTCCAAATACTGCAATGCTACTATTATATTGAAACGATAATAATTTACAAATTGCATGGAAAGGCCAATAAAACAATGCCATTTACAATAAATACCTCCAAACAAGAAAAAAAAATGAATTCCAAAAATAAAAAATAAATGACAAAACAAAAAATTATTAAACAATACCGGCCAAAGGCCGGGCCCAAAGCTAGTACATTTAGATGGGACTCGAACTAAGATTAAACCAGGGGCTATAGAGCATACATACAAAGTTTAGGTTCAAAGTTTGAAAACACAACCATGCTTGATTCAATGGAGTTTTGTAAGTCTCGTCCGAGTCATACTGTCGGTCGAAAATAAGTCGAAGAAATAATCGTACTATGGTGGGTGTTGTATACTGAGACTTGGGAAGACCATTCAATCAAAATCAGTCAAAAGGAATAATCTTACTAGGGTGGTTGTTGTATACTATGAGACTTCGGAATACCATTCAATCAACTGGAAAGATTGTAGAAAGTTGCAGAGCATAGATACATATGGCTATCCAAACTGAAAGGCACTTGCTTGCCCTCTAGAACATGGAAAGCTGCAGATTTCCTCCATTTGACTGACTTGCTGCTAAACCTAGGATTTGGGTTTCGTAAGAAAACGTAGGGGCAGTGGGTCTTGTTTTACCTCGTCCTCACGAAGTCACAGCAACATTTGACTCGGTTAGACAATAAAAGCTGCAAACTCACCACGGATGCATATAATCCATGCATGATGCATCCACCATAAGCACAAATTCAATCAGCAGGAAACAAGTAAACCAGAAAGAATAAGGATTCACAAACCAAGTATAAACCAGATCTCTTCTGTTGGATGGATAGCTGCAATAGATTATGATCATAAACCTAAAACCCTCTCTCTCACTCTCACAATATGTACAATGAAAGAACTTCCAAGTACTCTCTCAAGCTCCCAATCTATGCTCCCTGGATTTCACAGCAAAACTAGATAAGTACCCTCTATGTACACACTAGCACGCTGTACATGGCATCTCTCTCAGTATCTCACTATAAAATCGCTATACCTTCCATCAGGAAAAGCACGATGCATCCTCTTTTTCAGGCATCAACGGGCTCCTGCAGAGAGGGCAAGTGATGTTCCAATAGTCCAACCACTTCTCAAGGCACACCATGTGGAAGATATGCCCACAGGACAGTCGATTGATCTCCGATTCTGGGTTGAACCGAGTCAAGCAGACTGAGCAGTCATGTTCGGTCCGGCATACTTTGTCGAACCGAGTTGGTGGACTCCTGCTGCGGAACTCCTCAATGTAACCTTCCGATGCAGCCCTGCTTCGGAATTGGTCAATGAAGGCATCTGAGGTAGTAGTGGAGAACTCAAAAGGGTCCATCGTGGGTTCTTCGGTGAACTCGGAGTATGGAGGTGATGACGGTGGGAGATGGATGCCGACTATGTGAAGGATTGAACGGAGGATTCCTTTGACTATAGAGATAGACATTGCCGTGTTTACCAGGAGTAGACACAGGACTCCTTCAGATGGAGATGGAAGAGTTGAGAGACCCATCTTTGCGAAATGAACTTGAAGAGTTAAATGAGGATCAAGACCTTCTCTTTGTGTAACTAGATATCTGAAGAAAGGAACATAAACGAGGTAGAAATCAGACACTGAACAAACTAGTTTAGAATCAACAAACTATCGAAAAATGAAATGCTTCGATGAACTAAACTGAGCAATAGCCTTTCGTATGTGGCAATTTTCACTGGCGATCAGCCAAAAGAATTTGATTGAAATCAAAGGCTGCAAATCCAAACTAGATAGAAGTTCAAGAACTTCAATCCATCTTCTTAATGATACTACCACTACCAATATATGTAGAATAACATAAAGGATCAAATATCTATCTACGCGTCAAACCCTATAAAGACTACACTGCAGAAAACCAAGTTCTATCAGCCTAATGAAATGTAAGGTATAGCTGAGATTGAAATTAGAAGAGCAACTCTTTCGAATTTAGAGTCAATATAGATCGACCCAGATCCCACAAATCAAGGAACCCTCAGAAACCCACATCCTCCATTGATTAACATCATCAATTATCAGCTTCTCACGGCACACACATAGATACAAGATCGAACAGCATACAACAATTGAACCAAAAGAAGAAACCTTCACAAATGAGGAAACTCAACAGAAGTCACCTGGATTTGAAAAACCCAGCTAGCTAATTCAGAAAACATTAGTCCAGCTAATATCCAAGATCCAGTTTTTCTTTTTAAATACAGAAAGACACGATCTTTCCTATGTCATTTCAGAATATTTAAGGAAAAACAAGAGAAAAAACACCATAGCTCTGTCGATGAAGTGAAAAAAAAGAAATGGATAGAAACTTACACACAACACAGCTGAAGTTCTTCAGTTTCTGCAGAATCAAAGTAAAAGTTGCAGCAGATACTGTTGAATTATCAGCTAGGAAACCCAGAAAGCGATGAAATCGCGGTACAAGCCAAAAAAACCCACAAAGGTTATGGATTCATTGAATCGGCTTGAGAAATTCGGGGGAGATAAATTGGATAGTGCTTCAGCTGCTCGATGCCTTGTTTCTTTGCTTTGCTTTCTATCTGTGGATGGATGATGGGCTTTTTATAATTACCATCCCCAGGAAAACAGGCCGAAAGAATTCCCACCACCCTCCAGCAGCCTAAACCCATGTTGGTTTCCAGTTTTCAACCATGGTTAAGGCATCCGTTCCTTTCCGGAAGTCTTATTGAGTTCTAACCATGGTTACTTTATATCAGCATCCTTCCTTCTTTTACTCTCTCTCTCTTTTTTTTTTTCTTCCACTTTTTCATTAGCTTCAAAGCTTTAAACTTTCCATCTTTGCTTAGAGTCGTGATTATTGGCTCTTGCCTCTTAGGTGAAAGACTTGGTACTTCGACAATTGTAATGTATAGTTTTGATTGGATAAAAGAGAATGGAGGTGGAATCTCTCTCTCTTTTGTAACAATTATGGACCTTCATCAATCAACAATCTTGTGCAAGCAACTAAGAAGTTCATATGATGGTTGTCTTATTATCAAATTGTGCTCTTAAGAGCTCGATCTATATTTACTGGACCATTCAAGACTATTGGTGAGGGGACTACTTATTGATATAATTGGTGGAAACTCTAATGATATGCCAAAAAGGTCATTCTAGCTACTATACACATTTTATAGTTTAGAGATATGGAACACTAAAAATGTGTATTCAAGTGAGTGGTAACATTGAGAAACTACTAAATCTAGTATTTTTAGGAGTTAATATGCCATTGTGTAGTGATCATTGAGACTATGGACTCTATTTAGGCAAACCACTAACACAATTAAGGTCATAAAAAATGTTCCCAATTTGAGGGCATTGAACAAAACAAAGTAATTCAGTATAATAATGATCGTTATTGCTCTAACTTGTTGCAACTGATGAGGTGGCTTGTCTTTCAATCAGGATCCATATGACCATATCTATCTCTTGGTGCATCTGGTGATGTTTTGTAAATAGAGCCTGGGGTGACCCACTCTCCCCCAAGAATAACATAACATGGGAAGTCTCTCGTACTTTATTCAACGGTATGTATTTTTCCTTTCATTTTCAGCTTCTAATCTTCTTTCATGGGTGTTTTTATATCCTCATCCTGAAGAAGTCACTTCATGGATAATGAGTTTTTTCATCATAAAGGAGAAATCTTCCAAATCGTGGTGCAATCTTATCCGTCATTCGTCGCGGTTTCAGTGTTGCGAGTATGAATCCGATAAGAATCAAAATCTCCATCTCAAGTGGAATTCTGTCAAAGACAGGACCAGGATATAAATTTGTCATAATATTCAGAACATGGGGCAGTCTATAGCTTCTGTTAAAGAAGAGCTAGCGAAACTCTTTCGCTACTTGATAAATCGGATTCTTTGAATCATAACATACTGCTATCATAATTCCATGGTCCTCCATGCAGTGTTTTGTTTTTATCATCAACTTTAACAAAATGGAGTGCAAAAAAACTGGCATCCAATATATGTTACCTGATCAAAGGGCTTTTGTGCCTAGCAGAATTTCTCCAAAACTGACTTTAGGGCTTGGACATTGAGTTTTCTAATTCTTTGATGCCACTAACCTCACCAGTCACCACCAATTCAAGTAAGGCATAAAGGTTCATCTCCAATTCCCAACTGTACTTCACAAACACATTAAAACAACCCACTTGATTGAAATGTTCTTGTTTTTTACTACTATATACATTCCAAAATATGCACCCTCTTCTTCATGTAGACATTATTGCGCGCAATGACACTCGATTATATATTATTGCATGATAGACGTGGAAGATGGGTGGTAGTGTAGAAGGTTTTTCCTTCTACGGGGCCACCTTTACTATGATCCATATATATGATAATGGGCACTTATGTTCTTTCGCTTCATCGTCGACAAATGTCATACCTCTTCTGGTCATCCTGTGCTCCTTGTAAAATACATAAAAGTTTTATATATAATAATAACTAAAAACGAACACACACATGAAGAGACAATGAATCTAGACTGGTTGTACACGTGCCCCCTTGAGAAGAGAGTGCCATGCAACCCTAGCAATTGAGGCCACTACAATTGAGGGCATGCAGTATAATATAGTCCAGGTATATTCATGTGCTTCATCTAAGGACTAAGATATATCATATATGAAATATAGAATTCAATGTCAATAATGCATGTTTTTGTGTGTTTCATTTGTTTCTTAATCAAGATATAACCTCAATACACTGAAAATGAAGATCATGACCCAATACCAAACGGTGATTTGATGACAATTAAGATGCAACAACCAACCTATGTCCTTACTGGTTCGATACTCTATAACTCGATTCATATGATTGTTTGTGACTGTAGTTGATTCCTATAAAAGTTGTGTTTTGTTCTCTCCTTGTTTTTTAAACAAGGCTAAGTAGTATAGAGTCATAGATCGATCTTTTGCCCTGCCGCATTCCAATTCATCGAAGCCTGTTTAATCATGTTGATTTAGATAGCTCAAGGAATACTAAATTCAAATATGAGATTTCTATCGAGGAGAGAGGTTAATTTTGTGAGCACCATAAGCTAGTTGGAGTGAATTTATGGATATATATATTAATAAGCTCAATGTGACACATGTCATGACCAGATTTGTTGTGATATGGGGCTTGGGGAGGATGTGATATTTTTATGTGATTCGATAGCCCAATTGGGTTTATGTGTATTTGAGTTTACAAGACACGTGTTGGCATGCAAGTGGGGTTGTAGAGGGGCCATATGTTGACTTATTAGATTGTGCGTTTGTGCCTTGTGGAGGGGACGTTTTTGTTGCATATAATTAAGGGCCGTTTGGAGCAAGAAGGGTCCAATGGCAATAGTAACTCTCTCAGATAGCTATTTCTGTTTTGGCTGTATGAACAACTGTCACTCAATGACACAATTGTTAAGTCCCCACAGTTGCAAACATAATTGTTACACAATTGTTAGATGGAGATTCGAATATATCCTCTGTCAAATCAATTTTGATATCATGTTATAAACTGATTGGTACGAATAATTTGAGTTATTGGAGAAGTTAACTATTAATTTTAACCATTCCTTCCTCGCACGCTTGTTCAAACGAAAACTAACTCTCATAAGGTTGAAGTCAATCCGTACAGGCTTGCCATAACCAAAAAATTTAAACCAATTGTTAATATTGGAGGATATGGGGATTTGAACTTGCACGATCAAACCATCTGTGATATCATGACATTAACCGTTTTGATCTCAACAACTCGAATTACTAGGGTGGAACACAGATTTAACCATACCCCAACAAAACTGCATCTTGTGTAAGGCTTCTGGTCTCAATTGAGTGGACACTCAAATTTTGGGTAACACTTGAATATTCTTGGTATGGTTTTCCTCTAATAATACAGTACTCTCATTCATTAACATACCGTTTGGTACCAAATGAACCAAGAATTCATTTCATTTTAAAATGAATTATCGTATAGAATTCATTGTCAAATGAATTCCTATGTTTGGTATGTCACATTCAAATCTTTAGAAATAAAATGATTTGAATATCCAAACCTTGTTTCGCATACGTTTAGAATTCAATTAAATTAAAAGTTTCAAACTACACCTTTATTAGATTTCCGGCAGAAACAATATTCATTGAAAATCCATCTTCTAAAAATCGCCTTTGATCTCATACGTAGAATATCAAAAGTGTTCTTGTGTGTTCCTATTCTATTCATTAGTTCTTTTCAAATATTTTATCAAGAACTCTACGCTCTAGTTGTGCCTTCTCAACGTACTGATATACAATTGAAGCAGAAATATCCCATAACTAGCATATGCTACAAGCGTTGCAAAACAAATTCTTGTCGACGTTCCTCATACTGCATGAATTGGCGCCATATAATACATGTAGAAGTAATTTAGTTAATAATTGAGGATAATTATGTTATTATATTATAATTAGTAAATAATTGTGGAATTAATTTGGAAATTCTATCTCGATTCCTCGGAATTGCTATAACTAGTTCCAATTTTGTAGAATTCAAAATTTAGAATTGAAAATGAATTCTTTTAAATATCAAACACAAAAATATTTCATTTCAAAATGAAATCCTTAAAATTTAGGATTTTGCTACGGTGACATGCAAGTTGTACATGTTGGAAGTGGTCGACCTAATGTAGCATTCGCCTTCATCTTTTCTAATGCGTGATTTCCACCGTCTAATTTGATATATTGTTTCGTGCAGAATACCATTCGGTCGACCTTGACATCAACCAGGTCGACCTGACGAGACAATTCTTCGGATTTGAATTTAGGGCACAACACTTGGACTTCTGTACTTGCGAGGTAACGAAGATCAACCCAATTGGTCGACCTAATGTGTTTCAAGGTCGACCGTTTCTGTTTGTTTTGGTTATTCAACCTGAATGTCGACTTTGGCTTCGTTTGTAAGACTGTGTTGTGCTTGAAAAGGTCGACCTCGCCAGATATCTGGTCGACCTATCCTTTTTTCGGTTTAATATTGAACTTACTTTTTGTTGTTAATTGTTATTTTCCTGTTGGATAGGTCGACCTAGGAAGAACAGAGGCCGACCTTAATGGTTGTGGTAGTCACTATTTGTCTTCCCGGTCGACCTAATAATTTGTCAGGTCGACCACGTCTTTGTTTTTTGGTCAATTGTAGAAATTTGTAGTTGAATTATGATTTGAATTTTTCTTTAAATTGTTTAGACGATGACGCATGATGAGAGATTGCATCAAGATTTGGGTGAAATCATGAAATTGTTGAAAGCCACACAAGAGAAGCTGGTGGTGTGTCAAACACAAGTCAATGACTTTCAGAAGTCCATGCGTGATAGAGTGGAGCAATTGTCCGTTCGACTGACAGATATGACTGGGATGATGCATGACGGGTTTGAGAGGCTAGAAGGTGCTATCAATGATATAAGTGCAGAACGAATGGAGAATGGCGGAAGAGATGGTACATGAAAGAAATTTGACTTTGGTAAAGAGGAGGAAGACCATGATGACTCTGAAAATTGCTACCAAAGCATAGACGATTTATTGAAAGAGCACAATTTAAAGGTATCCAAGTATATTCATATGTGATTGAATATATTAGTATTACTATCATTAGTGCTAATTTGTTTTGTTTATATGTTTGACAGAGTGACACAACGAATGGCAGCAAGGGGTCCTCTCCTTAGTACAAGAGACCTCGATATGAAAGTGACTCCTACACCACTCCACAGAAGGATCATTTTGTAAGAAATGGATTATTTAGTGCTGATAGCGATGAAGATGAATCTAAGAGTCCTTTCGAAAACCACGGGGTAAGTTTACGTTACATATTCATCTATAATGTGTGTTTGTGTTCATATGTTACTTTAATTTTAACTATGATTTGTAGGTCATGAAAGTGGAGGGTCCAGAAGGATTCACCCAAAAACTTCAAAATCCAGTTGAAGACTTGTATTATGTTGTTACTAAAGAGAAGGCTGGGGACACGAATTTGGACAAGTAAGACGTTTTTTAGTACGTGTGGTCGACCGTTTAGGTCATGAGGTCGACCGTTTGTCCAATAAGGTCGACCTGTACGTTGCAAATCACAATTGACATTTCTGTTATTTTGATTTTTGCAGTTTGACCGTTGTGGACTTTTTTTTTTGAAAACGTGCAACGACATTATTTGAGTTCGGTCATTAGCGAGAATAGCTGGGTTTGCTCATCAGTAAGTACTATACTACTACGACTTTCGTATGAATTGTGCACTATTAATGTTACGATTTACGATGATTTTGTGTTTGATTGTTGGATGGTAGGTAGTGGATTTGTGTGCAAGGGCACTGACAATGTCTGAAAAACTTGATGTGAAAGAGCCAAATGTGTGGTATTTGCCAAATATGTTTTCGGTAAGAGCTGTAATGTCAAATTATTTGTCATAACCTAGTTATTTATATTGTACCATGTCAATTCATCTCAATTAAAACATGGTGCAGAAAATGGTACGCGCTAACATGAAGAACAGACAAATTCGTAACAAGTTGATGAATGATGGCGTGGTGTTTATGCCGAATGTTAGTGCATGCTAGAAGGTTAGTCTAGTCAACGTCCCTATATCATTAAATTTCAAAAGTGCATTTGTTTGTATTCGCTGTTTATAACATATAGTGAGTGTTTCGTTGCTAGATATTTATGTCAGTTCTTGACGATGAAGCACGTCATTGGTTTCTGTATCTCGTCAATGTCCAGCAAAAAACTGCATTTTTGCTTGACAGTCTCCCTTCAACTAGTGAGGCGAATCGTAGGTGTAAATCAGCACTATGCAAGAAATTGGTAAGTGTTTCCTATAATTTTCTGACTACTAAGCGTCACGTATTATGCTAGAAGCTTAAAATATTCGTTATTTGTTTGTAGTTATCCAATTTGGATGATATTTTCAAACTGGAGCGCATGAGCAATGTAGCAGTACCAAATTTTGAAGATTTCAAATTTAAAGAGCTACGGGTTCAAGGGCAAAGGAATAGTACCGAGTGTGGTATGCACGTCATTCAGTGGATGCGCTATGGATCCAAGGATCTGGATAGAGTGGTGAGTATATCGTCAAACAAGTAACTTGTTTAATTTATACTTTTTTTAGTTGTAACGAAGTCTTACATGCCATAATGCAGATAGGAGAAGAACACAAATTACCGGCTCGAAAAAAGATTCTATGGTATCTAGCTACACATTTTGAAAACCGTGCACGAGAAAATCTTTTCAAGCATGTAGTAGATGAATGCATGGAACGAGGCAAAGAGAGACAGAGTTCAAACAAAAAAGCAAAGAAATGAAGTCATTTAGTTACAATGTTGTATTATTTGGACAATACGTTGAATTTGTATTTGCGAGATTGTTTTATTTTGGATTTTGAATGTTTATCGTTTATTAGATTTGTTATAAAATTATGGATGTGAATGAATTTACGATTTCAATTGTCTAGAACAAGTGGTCGACCACATACTCAAAGCGGGCAAACCCGTAGGCAGAGCAAATGTCGACCTTGTGACGCTTAAGGTCGACCTATGATACCGTAGCAAAATCAAAAACCATGTGGAATAAGGATGAAATCTCGTCTGTTTGGCCTTAATATAATACGGTCGACCATTCGTGTAAAGAGGTCAACCAGTTTCACATTTATAAAAAACGGTCGACCCTTTGTGTAAAGAGGTCGACCTGTTTCACATTTACCCAACACGGTCGACCATTCGAGCAACGCGGTCGACCGTAATGAGTCTTGTCCTGGTCCAATTAGGATTTTGTGTACTTGTCCTTGTCGAATTATGATTTTATATATCTTGAGCCAATTGGATAAGGAATTCATCTACATTCTCTATAAATATATGGAAGTCTTAAGACTTTATTCGTACTTCGATTTATGCAATTTGTTGGAGTGAAGTTGTCATCTCATCGCTCTTATTGTGATCGTGTGTTGGTGGCGGTTTATTCTTATTCTGGTAGACCGAAACAATAAGTGGTCGACCGTGTTGCTAAGGTATGTCTCGTATATGGTTGTTAATGGTTGTATGTGGTTAAATTTATCCCTAATTAGGTCGACCACCTCAACCATCCGGTCGACCGTATTTGTGTAATTATATGATTAGGTCGACCTTGCAGTAAATTCTGGTCGACCTCTTGTTTGATATTTAGTAATAAGATCGACCTTACAGTAAATTCAAGTCGACCTCATCTTTGTTATTTAGTAATAAGGTCGACCGTACAGTTCATTCAGGTCGACCTGACGAGAGTTAATTTTGTATGTATTTGACATTAAATTCGTATTCCGATCGTTGCAGGATGGATAACAGAGATGATACAGATGATAGAGATGCTGACGAGGTTAACTTCGATGAGGAACCTAAGGATGCTCGAGAAGGATCTATGGATAATTCAGATGATACAAATAATACGAATGATGAAGTGGTTGGGGATTATAAGGAATCCGAGGGTGCTGAAGAAGAATTTATGGATGATGAAGAAGCTACTGCATATGAACAACAAATTCCTTCCATGAAGTTCCAAACATCAGAAGATGCAGAGAAATTTTACGATTCCTATGTTAAAGCGAAAGGATTTAGCGTTCGACGGAGAGATATTCGGAGGAATCATCAAGGAGTAGCAATTGGGAGGACAATGGTATGTTCAAGAGAGGGGACTAGAGAGAAGATGCATATAGATAAAGAAGGTCGGACTCGACAACATCGTAAGATGACAAGGCATCGTATACTGTACACTTTGATCGAAATAAGAAAATGTGGGTTGTTTCTAAGTTTGAGAGGAAGCACTCATATCGTTGCTACAATGAAGAAGAAACACAATTCCTTCGGTCTCATCGAAATGTGAGTGAAGGAGACAAGGCTCTGGCGATAGGGATGCGACAGTCAGGGGTACACTCCAAAGGATTTGGATAATGTTGTTCAGAAATCCCGAACAGTTGACGACGATCTAATAGGAGATGTTAACCGAACATTGGGTTACTGGCAAAGTAAACATACCTCTGATGCGGGCAGCTTCTTCAAGTACACAACCAACGATGAAGGTGAATTAGGCAATCTCTTCTGGTCGGACTCCACATCTAGAGCAGATTACCATTTTTTGGGGATGTCTTGGCGTTCGATGCATGCTACAAGCGCAACAAGTACAATCGACCATTTGTTATGATGGTTGGTGTAAATCACCACCACCGTAACATCATATATGGTTTTTCCCAGTTGGATAACGAGACAATCCCCAACTATGTTTGGTTGTTGAATACTTTTCTGGAGTGTATGAACTCTAAGATGCCGACTTCAGTGATCACAGATGGAGACAAGTCTATGCGTGGTGCCATTGCTACTGTTCTGGTTGGAGTGCCTCACCGTCTGTGTATTTGGCATATTGAAACAAATGCGACAACGGTTGTTCATAATAGGGAGTTCGTTAGCGCATTCACTTACTTGGCGAAAGCACATATATCGATTGAGGAGTTTGAGAGGCGTTGGGAGTATTTGATTAGTGAGCAATGTTTGTCTGCAAATAAGTGGTTGCAGGATTTGTATGCTGACAAACTACTGTGGGTAGAGACATACTTGAAGGATATTTATTTCGGTGGACTCCAATCAACCTCGCGATGTGAGTCATGTAGCCATTGGATAAATGGGTATGTGGGAACTCAATACAGCTTGCAACGTTTTGTTCAGGGCATTGATGAAGCACCGGAGGGGATGCGTTTCACGGAGGTGCAGGATGATTATACTTCTAGGCACACGAGGTTAGTCTGCAAGCATGCCCTTCGCACTTGGGAAATGCAAGCTGAAAGTATCTACACACATCGTACATTTGCTATCTTCGAGTCTGAACTAGAGAATGAAGCTTCTTATGTATTAGCTGAGAGAAGAAATGAATCAAATGGGACAGAGACATTCTTTCTGAAGAACTACATGAACCCAGATCGGATAAGGAGGTTAACATTTACTACGTCCAATCAAGATCTAAATGCGAGTGTGCATTATTTGAATCTAAGGGGTTTCCATGCAGACATATGCTTACAGTAATAAAAAAATATGGGATACACCGCACTACCCTCCTCGTGGTTCAAGCTTCGATGGACCCAAAATGCGAAGACACTAAATCGTCATCCTGGAGTTGGAGGTGATGTGGGAGAGAAAGTTGGTCGACTGATAAGACATGGAGGATTGGCTCTAAAGTGTAAGCGTTTGTGTGACATCGCGTGTGGTAGTGAAGCTGCTTTTAATAATGTCTCTAAGACGTTGGATGACCTTACTCAATAGGCAATTGAGTTCGCGAGGGAGAGAACGGACAACACCACACCTGCAAACCCTCCAGCACCCCTTCGAAGTGTGAAAGATCCAAAAATTGGGAAGACCAAGGGGACATTCAAGTAAGCACGAACTGCATCGGGCAAAAGCGTAAGAAAGTGTTAGAAATTTGGGAAATATGATCATTTTCGCACTAAGTGCCCGAAACAAAGTCCCAAAAAAGGATCTTAAATTTCTTCTATTATTTTTTAGGAGTTTATTTATTTTTTTATAATTGTGATTGCATTGTATATTTTTCGAATTATCTTAATAATTTATGAGTTAATTGATTGTTGGTTGAAATAAACAATAGCAATAAAACGGTCGACCTCATAAAAAACACGGTCGACCGAACCTGTTACTGAGGTCGACCGCGTATTTAATTCGGCCGACCAAACCGGTTTGTTTGCAACATCCACCCAAACCTCTCCTCCAATCCTCTATTTAAGAAACCCTCCCCCACTCATTCTACACCACATCCACTCATTCTTCCTCTCCTTTCCCTTCTTCATCTTCTTCTCCAATTTCCAAAAACTCAAAGGAGAAGAATCAAAACCTCCATTCCATTTCATCCTCATCCACTTAGAAGAAGAACAAGGTGGGTATTTCAATCATTGTTTCTTCTGGTTCGATTTTTCTCTTCTTCTTTGATAAAATAGATTGTTTTTAAAAAATCTAAAGATGGAAAAGAGGGATTTTCCCTTCTATTCATCAGATCCAGTCGACCTGTTCATCTTCGTGGTCGACTGGATCTGACTTTCATTTGATCTGTTTGACTGTTTTATAAACAGAGGTCGACCTGTGATGTTAATGAGGTCGACCTATGACGTTTTTTGGGTTTTTAAAGAGTTCTTCAAGCTGGAACAATGATGTATTTTCCCTTCTGTTCGTCAGATGCGGTCGACATGTTCATCTTCGTGGTCGACCGTATCTGACTTTGATTTGATCTGTTCGGTTGTTTTATAAACTGAGGTCGACCTGTGACGTTTTTTGGGTTTTTAAAGAGTTCTTCAAGCTGGAACAATGATGTATTTTCCCTTCTGTTCGTAAGATGCGGTCAACTTGTTCATCTTTGTGATCGACCGTATCTGACTTTCATTTGATCTGTTCGGCTGTTTTATAAACTGAGGTCGACATGTGATGTTAATGAGGTCGACCTGTGACGTTTTTTGGGTTTTTAAAGAGTTCTTCAAGCTGGAACAATGATGTATTTTCCCTTCTGTTCGTCAGATGCGGTCGATATGTTCATCTTCGTGGTCGACCGTATCTGACTTTCATTTGATCTGTTTGGCTGTTTTATAAACTGAGGTCGACCTGTGATGTTAATGAGGTCGACTTGTGACGTCTTTTGCATTCCAAATCTTAAACAATTGGGCCATTCAAATTCGTTTTAAATTTTTCGAGGTCGACCTGTGGTGCTATTGAGGTCGACCTATGACGGCAAAAATACGAGTTTAGCCACTTTCGACGAATGTTTTGTGTGAAACTAGGTCAGGTCGACCTGTTGTGAA